AGGTGTTTGACTGTGTGTCAGTCTGTTAATTGTTTCTCTCCCCCCAAAGACGTCTCCCTCCCTCAGAGAAATAACCCAGATATGCAAATGTACCTTCCCAATTATTTCCCATTACTTCATATAATTATGCACAGAGTTCAGAGACTGGCTTGGAGAAAGAAGTGGCTCCTCCTGCAGCTCCTCCTGCAGCTCCTCCTGCAGCTCCTCCACCCACCGGTGTCCCACGGCTCTGTGGGAGGACGGCTAAATTAACTAGGCTTTTTGGAAGGCTGCTCTTCTACGCCGACGACCGTCGATTATCTCTAACCTTTTCATGACTGCTCTCCAACCTGGTGGAGGAACTGTGGGTTCGTGGCCCTGATCAGCACAGGAGGAGGTTCAAATCTAATCAATAAACATTGGTCACAGTTGGTTTGTGAAGTCACTGCTGGATTGAATGAGGCTGAAGGAGCAGATGCTGCAGTTCTTCTCTTCACCACTCGGTGGGGTCTGTCCATCAAACTAACAAAGGATCAATTACAAAAGGGTTCTAAAATATTTCATAAACTAAAGTTGGAAAGTGGTTCTTTGTTCGTTTTCTCTGGGAATAAAACGTCGTTCCTTCATTGGTTTATAAACTGAAAACAAAAAAAGAGTAAAAATTCAGCTTTTATTTTAGACAGCCGGGTGTTTGCTGTGTTTTGCTAAAGATAGCTTCTTAGCTAACATGTATCAGACTTTAAAACCAACTTTAATTTATTTCAGCTAAGTTAGTTAGCCCTAACTAACTTAGTTAACCCTAACTAACTTAGCCCTAACTTAGCCCTAACTTAGCCCTAACTAGCTTAGTTAGCTCTAACAGATGAACAGAACTCCTGCTGGGTTCTGTTCGTTCCACTGAACTCTCTCTGTGGGTCAGATCCCTCGTTATCACAGAATCAGTCAAATAGTCCGTTCCAGAGTTCTGGGTCAGATCACCACGTCTGACCAACTGTCCTTCCCTGACCCAGGTTTTTTTGTCCTCTTCTGATTGGTCGGCCTTGTCCTCCTTCTTCCCAGTTAATCCAGTAATTCCAATAACAGTTCCACTCTTTGTCACACAAATGCTCAGTAGTTTCTCCATTCTTGAAGCTTCACTTTTATGATGCAATAATTCCACTACAAGTGAATCATAAGATTTTCACTGACGTTTGACATTTATCTTCTTTTCATTATTTGTTCAAACATCTTGTTCTGATTTGTGACTCAGAGCTTAAATAAACAAGGTGTGAATGAATATCTGATACAGTTGGTAGAACAGGTGAAATCAACAACTTGTTGAGTGACACGTGGACCACAGACGTGACACGACAGCAGCCACAGACGCCAATTAGCTGAAAAGACAATTAGGATATACTATGTAAATGCTGGGAATTAATTAATCCCAAATGGCATTGGACTAATTAGTCAGTAATCCCCATCTCGCCTTTGAGCTCCATATTTAAAGGCAGCCAATCGGACAGCAGTCACTGCAGAGATAAAGAACCGTACAACTTTAATTTAATTTCTTTAAATGGATGATTTTTTAAAATCGACATCTGATTAATTAGTCCTTATTTTCACCGCCGTTTTCTAGGACGCAGACAAACCAACACGGAGCTTGATGTTGGTGTTAATCAAAAGATCGTTCATTTACAGTTGTCATTAAGGGAGCAGTAATTACTGCCAGACAGAAGCTGCTGCAGCTGACAACAAAGTTTGGAGGTTAACGCTACGCTGGTTTATTCATCTGCTACAGACCAACACGCACCGTTCACCTTGAATAAAATAACTGTTGATGAAGGCCAGAGCTGGGAGGAAAAACACGAAGGACGCTCGTCTATTATCAGAACACATTTTTATATTTTCTCTCCAGGAACCACCTCAAAACACAAGGACTCTTCACTCACAGACAGACTGGTGGGCCACACGGGGGCGACGGGGGGCAGGAACGGTTGATCGACAACATCTGCTGATTTGAATGTACAGACAACAACTGTGGCGCCCCCTGGTGGGGAAACTCTGACCTTTATCAGACTTGTTGACTAAGACATGGACCAGGACTGAGGTCAGACTGACAGACCAACAAGTCACAACGTATATTAATAAAAAATAATAAAAATACCTCAACTAAAACTCTGGTCTCCAACATCCCATAATAAGGAAGTACAACATCTCACCGTACTGAATAAATTATATTTTTTCACTTGACAAACCAACGGCACAAACAACCAGGAATTCACATTCCTGAACAGTTCCACTGGGATCCACTTCGGCACAAACAACCAGGAATTCACATACAACAGTTGAAAAAAACAAACAAACAGTTCCTGAACAGTTCCACTGGGATCCACTCCACTGACAGAACCACAAACAAACAGAAACGAACTCTCATCTCCATGACAACGCTGCTGAACACAGCGTTTATGGACAGTCGGAGCCTCGAGTGAATGAACAGCAAAATATATGAAAACACGTTCAAAACTACAGAAACTGGATTCCTTCGTCTACCTCTAGGGGGGGTACCACCAGGAATAGGTGTCCCCTAGGTTGAGAACCACTTCAGCCAGCATACACTTCTCCATTGTGGACCAGAACGTCCACACCTGGGCCTCACAGCAGACATCACGACCCCCCCCGCCAGGTCCCCCCCTGAGTGTGTCAAACTGTCGGCTCCTCTCAGAGTTTTCCTGGAACATGACCTTGAGTGCTTTATTCATTTCCTTATTTTTTTAGGGCAGAACCTGGGGCTACCCCCCCCCCCCCCCCCCCCC